GAGCGCACACGAAGATGTTGTGAGACATATATCAGCAAATGCAATAGACCTACCCACATATGCATTGTCTGCGGTTTCAGAGCTCAATCGCGAGCGAGCTCCACCAAATCTATTAAAATTTTACCAGAAAAAGTTTGCAATATATTTTTGACATCTCAAAGAACACAATCATCACATCCTATGCTCAACGCTGTATTATTATGACCATATCACTCGCTCTTCTGAGCCAGCCGTATGTGAAGATCGCTGTTGCGGACGGAGTAAAGTATCTGCCATGTCCTGCAGCTAACCTACCTTAAATTTCAAAGCAGCGACGCAGTTCTGATTTGCTGGGGTAGGTAGTGCGATGGTAAAACTCACAGAGCGAGCCCAAGACTTAGCTCACCTCACCCTCTAATGCACACCGCAACTCTCAAAGGGAATTAACGTGCCGTTTTAACCAAAAATTAGAGCCAGCCGCAAGATTGTCGTTCTTATTTGGCACTGCTCGATGAGCAAATAGTAGCCCACTTCCCTAGTATGTATGACTCTTTAGATAGCCGACCAAACTTAGTATTTTTTTTATTTTAGAGGCTCCCGATTTCGAGTATGGAAGAAGTGTACGAGCTTGAACATTGTGCGCTGTAGATGCGGGTTTTTTGACTGATAGCTTCCCCTATTTGAATAACACTGCGCCATTTGCACGTACACCTTCTACAATTATCCAAAAGTGGCCAGATCACAAGTACCAAGCTATAATACCATGATGAAATATCATGAGAAATACTGGTTCAGATAAGAAGAATAGTACCTTGAAAAGGAGAGGTCTGTGGGGATCGTGAAGCAACATAGAATAATAACACTAGATTTAAAACAATCACTTCAATTAACATAATTCTCCAAAAAAGATAAAAACTGTGAATCTATGATTTAGGCTCGAAACCCCAAGTATACACAATTCACTACCCATCAGATTTTAATCCAATCATATGCTGGTTATTTTTTGGCCGCAAAGTCCACTCCTGTCTTTTACAAAGAGGCCAAGCGGCTCAAGCGCGTACCTTCACTACGCACAGTCTACTCTGCCAAGATGTTTACCTTGCGACATCTTCTCCTGCACGCTGCGAAGCGTTCTGCTCATTCAAATGCACGTTTGTTCCATGTATCGATTCGAACTGTAGGTCACGTTGCAATAATGAATGTATACATCAATCTAGACGTGTCCTCATCGCATGTATATCTTTGTTTCTATGTAGCCTCTGATCCGTCCATCACCCGCGACGGGTACGAAAAGATCGCTGTTTAATCTCACGCAGCGTGGTAAGCAAAAGCAACTGAAGAGTCTAGAGCAGACAGCAAACGCCAATCCAGAGGATCCATATGCACAGCTTCGCTTTTTGCAAGAACTCAACCGGAACAATTACCCCGCAGTGGTAGTACGTCGAGTAGAAGAAAATCGGTTTGCTCTGGATGAGTCAGGACAGAAAGAGTATATCAAAGCTTTGGTCACTACGGGTCGACTTGATACTGTGGACCTACCGCAGCTGACCCAGCCCGTCGGCAACGCGGTCCGCCAATTCAATGGCCTGGCCGCGACTGCTCCAATTACAGCCCGCAGTACCCGAGGCTATTCAGCCAATGAACCAATGTACGTATCTATGGTTGAAGGAAGCTTTAAGAGCAACTTATGGAAGACTTTGAGATCGCTTGGCGTCGCTTTTTTTGTCGTTTCGGCTCTGGGAGCGATGATTGATGAAAAGGTTGGCAAAATTGGCTCAGCATCTAAGATTATGGGCCCTACAGGAAGCGACAAGCGCTTTAGTGACGTCAAAGGAGCTGACGAAGCTAAGCATGAGCTTGAAGAGATCGTACAGTTTTTGAGAGATCCAGCTCGATTCACTCGTCTTGGCGGGAACTTGCCTAAGGGTGTGCTATTGACTGGACCTCCCGGTACAGGCAAAACGCTGCTAGCTCGTGCTATTGCTGGCGAGGCTGGCGTCCCATTTTTTTACTCGTCTGGATCCGAATTTGAAGAAATGTACGTGGGTGTAGGCGCGCGTCGCGTGCGTGATTTGTTTGAATTAGCGAAACGGAAGGCGCCTTGTATCATCTTTATTGATGAGATTGATGCGATTGGTGGAACGCGTAAGTTGAAGGAGCAGCAGGCAATGAAAATGACGTTAAATCAACTTTTGGTCGAGATGGACGGCTTTGATCAGAATAAAGGCATCATTGTGATTGGTGCTACTAACTTCCCTGATGTGCTAGACAATGCATTGATCCGTCCAGGTCGTTTTGACCGACATGTAACTGTTGACTTGCCGGATGTGGCTGGTCGCAAGGAGATTCTCGAATTTTACGCTGGCAAGATTCCACTTGGTAACGATGTGGATGTAGACGTGCTTGCACGTGCTACGCCCGGCATGTCAGGTGCAGAGCTGTCAAACTTGGTTAATGAAGCTGCGCTCCGTGCATCGATGAAAAGCGCTGATTGTGTAGATATGGAAGCTTTTGAATACGCCAAGGATAAGATTCTAATGGGTGCTGAGCGTAAATCGGCGCTGATCACACCCGAGTCGGCTAAGCTCACAGCTTACCACGAGGGTGGTCATGCGCTCGTCGCAATTAACACTCCAGGAGCTCATCCTGTTTATAAAGCTACAATTATACCGCGTGGTCAGGCGTTAGGTATGGTTTCCCAGCTCCCAGAAGGTGACCAAACGTCAATTTCACGCAAGCAATTGTTAGCACGATTGGATGTGTGCATGGGTGGTCGCGTGGCTGAAGAGTTGACATTTGGCGAAGACGA